GGTTGCAGACTGCCAGAAATAGTGCAAATTGAGTCCACTTTTAGGGTTAGGGTTAGTGCTAGGGAAGCATGGGAATTGTTTTTTTTTTTTTCCTGAGACATTGAGCCTTCTCTGTCAGAGAGCTCTGGTGCCACAATAAAATACAGTCCCCATGATTCCCTAACCCTAACCCTAACCCTAAAAGTGAACTCAATTTGCACTATTTCTGGCAGTCTGCAACCCCCCCGAGTCTCATAAATGAGGAAAACACATATGCACACACAGACACAAACCTTTTAAGGTAATGCCTTCATCCTGAGATTTCTATCCCCCTCCCTGAGAAATGAAGACTTAGGCCCAGGCCTTGAGATTTGGCAACTTTACTCACAATCCCTAGGTGTTGGAACTTTTGGTCCTTTATATGTTTTGAACTACAAATCACATTCTCTTGCCACTGGTTATGCTACCTGGGCTGACAGGAGTGGTAGGCCAAAGCTATCTGCCCGTATCAGACAGTTTACTTGGAGACCCTTCCTATCAGCCAAGGTGTGACACTGAATTTCTATTTCCCATGTCCATTCTGACATATGGCAGAAACCACATTCACAAATGTGTATTCATCTACTGGGTCTTTGGCATGTAGTGCCCACTGGCATATACAAGGTTGAACAGATGATGATACTCAGCATCTTTCAGTATGACTAGAATCATAAAATGATAAGACTTGGAAGCGACCATAAGGGCCATCCAGTCCTACCCCCTGCCATGCAGGAACACACAATCAAAGCACCCCTTTCTGATGGCCATCCGGCCTCTGTTTAAAAGGCTCCAAAGAAGGAGACTCCACCACTCTACAAGGGAGTGTGTTCCACTATCGAACAGTTCTTACTGTCAGGAACTTCTTCCTAATGCTGAGATGGAATCTCTTGTAGTTTGAATCCATTGCTCTGGATCCTATTCTCTGCAGCTGCAGAAAACAAGCCTGATCCATCCACAACGTGAAATCCCTTCAAATATTTAAACAATGCTATCATATCACCTCTTAACAATCTCTTCTCCAGGCTAAACAGACCCAGCTCCCTAAGTCTTTCCTCAT